AGGGTTTGCAGAGTTATCTACGTATTGGAAAACCTTTCTATAACTTGACAATTCAATGTTGATATGGTGAATTGTATATCTTATTCTCTATAGGCGTGGTATTCTTGTGAAATATCTAAACTTCTCTTGTTCAAAGGAATTAATACAAAATTCTAAGTTGGCCTAAAATGGTACGTTGTTAATAGAACTCTTGGACAAATGTTTCATGATAAGCAACTATGAAAACAATGGTCATATGATTTGGGGGTGTTGTCTGCGGGCGGTTGTCTCTTGTACCTAGGGCTATAGGGTGTCCGTACCGTGCGGCATTGTGGTTCACGTGCGAGCGGTGGTTGTCGGAGCGGTGGCTCCGAACTTGGGTGTGTGTGTTGAGGCGACTGTAGCCTTGTGTCGTGTGGGCGATGAGGCTTCGTTGCTTGTGCGGCTTTTTTGTTTGATTTTCCTTATAAACTGGTCCGCCATATTTGGTTTCAAAAAAAGTTGTTATATGATTTGATTATTATCCATTTGATGTACTTATATTTCACAAACCTTTAACATGAATTTTAACTAAAACCATTACACTTATTTTTGGATAGAGGGAGTACTAAACAAATGTATACAAGTTGCTTTTTATTTCTAACAATTAAGAGTCAAAATAGACGGGGTGCGGCAACGCACGCCAACAATGATCTAGTATTCTTAATAACCGAGGTAACCCCGCGAGACGGTAAAGGTCTGCAGTTGGACAACTAATTCTTGATGCAACTGCTCAAGACGTAATTTGGACACATCCTCTATTTCATCGCATTTGCAAACACATCTTAACAGGTGCCTTCCAGAGCATAAATTAACATCATGATGATCCCTACAGAAAATATATGATTGTAAGAATCAAGACCTCATATCCATGTCTTTTCTAATTATAGTGTTACACCCTCTAAGGTTGTTAAGGTCTAAAGACTTGGTAGAGCCTCTGACGTAGTGGACATCCTCTCATGGGTTTGATAACCCAGGGTCAATACTTGAGGAGACAGAGTGAAACCTTTGCTATCCAAAGCGGATCTCAAAAGGTATCATGTTTGTGTCCTACTCAGAAAGATGAGGCGGAGGCTCCCTAAAGATGGACTAAGATTCTACCTGCCTAGCCCATGTCCTGATAGTGAGTCAAGCATCGTCGGAGGGCATGTAGGGCGTGTGGAAATACATCTCCGGTGGATCTCGCAAGATTCGGTCCACGTTTTTCTTCAGTAGGTATGCTTAGATCCGGTCTTCGTTTGTCTACGTGTGTGTATCTTACGGATCCTTTCGATCTGCTCTTCTCTTCATCGACGACGGTTGCTATTCTGATGTGTTGGTCCTTTGGAGGCTTAGTACGAAACTGTCTACCACAAAGGTTTGCCCGACTTCAGAGGGAAGGACGATGGCACGGGCACGCCTTCGACTCGTTTCAATGCTTGTAGTTGTCGCTAGGTGGTCTACGAACATACATGTAATTTCTATTGTTTGGTGTTTTTTTATACTACCATGATGTTTGATGAATACTCCCTCTGTCTCAAAATATAAGAGCATTTTTTGATACTAGTGTAGTGTGAAAAACGCTGTTTCATTTTAGGACGGAGGGGGTAGACCGTAAGTTTTTTTCTAAAAAAAATCAAGCAATGTACGACGTCGTGGAATCGTGATGTTAAGGTGAGCCTATTCTCTGTTTACACAGTCTAAAGGCGCACTTTCGTAATACGCCTCGTGCTCTGCTTTCGCTATTAGGGTTCAGTTCTTTTGCTATAATCTGGGGATTCTTCCAGAATCCGACCCCTATTTAGCTTCTTTCAGAATCTTTGGGCCTCGTTTGTTTTACAATCTTATCTAGTTAGGGTCTAATTAGATAGAATTGTAAAACAAATGAGGCTCAAAAATTTTAGGAAAAGCTGAGTAGGGGTCTGAGAGAATTTCCAGATTCTGGCAAAAGAACTGGGCCTAGGTTCCGCCCACATAAACCAATCAGAGGAACTCGGAAAAAGATCTCCGCTTTGCCTGTCTGCCTGCGCCGGACGGAGCCACCCCACCCCACCCACCGAAGCGACCGGACCGGCGAGCGGCGGAGGAAGGGAGAGATGGCGGCGACGGGGGAGGAGACGGTGCGGGCGTCGCACATCCTGATCAAGCACGAGGGGTCCCGGCGCAAGGCGTCCTGGAAGGACCCCGAGGGCCGGGTCATCTCCGCCACCACGCGCGCCGACGCCGCCGCGCGCCTCGGCGACCTCCGCGCCCAGATCCTCGCCGGCCGCGGCTCCTTCGCCGACCTCGCCGCGCAGCACTCCGACTGCTCCTCCGCCCGCCGCGGCGGCGACCTAGGTACGTGCGTGCGCACGACGCGATGCGCCGCCTCCCCCGCCCCCCGCCCCGCTCCGGCTAGATTTGGATGCGTGGCCGTTACTACGATTTAGGGTTGCTCCGAGCTGTCGATCCGGCGATTCGGTGCTCGGTTATTTCCTAACATGGGCAGGGGTCAGGAATGTACTACAGTATTTAGGATGTACTATCAGCATGATTCATGAATCAATAGGACTGCTTTTTATGGGGTTAACATTAGATCCCAGGAGGCCGACTTCTGAGTAGGAATCTGATTTTTATGCGGAGATAGGCGGATCGATCGGCTAGCGTGCTTTCATGGCATCCCTTCCTGGATCCACCAACTAATCATGTGTGTCATACTGCGTAGGGAAGTGATGCTATTTCGTAGTAGGAAGCAGTGATTGCTTGGTCTAAGTTAAGAGGATCATGGATAGGCTTCACTTGAAAGTGCATAAACATTTTTTTAAGATCGTACTAACTTGTCTTTAAAACAAGAATACTAAATATTCAATTGGTTGTCCTAGCACGTGCTTTTCGTTGGATCTGTGAGAAATAAGTTGGCCAGAATTGTTTCGTGGTATTAGTTGTGATCTCTTACATTTGCTTGTACATACCTATTTATTTCAATTCCTTCCTTTGCTCGTTTTTGTTCCCATTCTGAATGACGAATGTGAGGTTAGGCTTTCAAGAAGAGAGCTTGGGTTTCCTTATGATATTTAAAGAAAACCTGAAGCTAAGATTGCCATGTTGCCTAGTTTGAAGGAAGAAGCGTGAAGCAGAAGTTGTTCTGTACTTGCAAGTTTGACAGCAGTTATCACAGAACCTTGCCTTGTTGTGTTGTTAGACTTTTGGATCAGTGCGCATCTCTTTCGCGAAGTTTGTGCTCTTGCTGATTAGGGTGAAGAGTCGCCACCATGGTGCTGCAACCATGATGCTATTGATTGTTACATTTTATCGGCTCAATTAATAATCCAATCTCTGTGGAAACACATCAATGATGTTCATTCATGGAATTCTTGCTGATTGCACCTCTTGACGTTCAACCACAACTGCGCCTTGGTAACCGTTATGTTGCTATGGATCCTTGATAGGCACCTTTGGGAGGAGGCAGATGCAGAAGCCCTTCGAGGACGCCACGTACGCTCTCAAGGTGGGGGAGATCAGCGACATCATCGACACCGAGAGCGGGGTTCACATCATCCTGCGTACCGCATAAGGAGAATGAAGCCCACGCCGTCACCATCACAACAACCTGATGTTATTTAGCCCTTTTCCTTCTTCCAGGGCCTGCGGCTCTTCTCATTCCGGCAGCCTGAAACTTGAATGAAGAAAATGTCTTGTATCGTCTAACCGTTTTGCTACGGCCATTTGAGCTGGTTGATACATACTTACATCACAGGTCAATGTTTGAGCTTATGATGTCTTGATCAGGAGATGTTTTCTGTTCGTCATTCCATTTGTGATAAATCATTTCAAATGAATGTTGTATGCACCATGAAATCTCTCCTACTTATAGTAAGGTTTTGTTCTTCATTCGGCCAATCTTACATGCCCCCCTCTTCCTCCCTTTCTCCGTATTGATTTTTTTTCCTTTCATTTATGATTTTTTACACCATTTTTTTCCTGAAAACTGCATCCATTGTACCTCATATTGACTTCCCAAATAAAATTATGTTTTCTTTGGTAAACCAAGTAAACGCTTACCAAATAAGGGTATAGTATAAAATCATTTTTAACACAATCACACTGTATGGGTAGGTACAAGGGTTTACTAGTAATTATTATTTTTACACAATCACACTATATGTGCAGGTAAATCATCAAAAATACAAAGGAACATGGTTCCATGTGCACCCACATGAATAGATATTTGAAAAACATACAAGGGAAAAACCTGCACTATATGTGAAGTATTGATGCCTGTGGTATTCTTAGTGAAGAAAATACAATTGAGACCATACTATTCATCAAACAATGTTTTTTTAATATAACTTTGATTTTGACATTTTTATCCAGAATAGCACGGCTGTCATTTCTTTGTGAAACTTCATACGTGAGTATATTGGTTGACTATGTATGTTACAAAAAAATATTCAGATTCTTTTGATTTTTCTAGTATCTTTTTGAATTTATTATTCATAAGGGATGTGCATGGAACCATGTTCACCAAATCCACGTCCAGTAAATCATGGGCTAACTCACCAAAAATATGTATGCCCCTTTGCGACGCACGCGCAACTAGTAACGGGTCATCTTCAGATATGAAAGTAATTTGGGAATACATTCCTCGTAATTTTGCACGAAACCATCCAAATCGTCACAGGTCTGTGTTGACCGTTTGAGAGAGAGAGGGGCCATATTCTCACTGATGAGAGAATTAAACCATATAACTGAGCAACCAATAACTTAAATTAATATGCTTGGTTGTACACAGAACTGTTATGGCTTGCAATTAGCAGGATCCTGCATTCTTCAAATAAAAAGCAACCATCATTCAGAAGAAGAAGAAAAATATGCAACAGCATCATGATGTTGCTCCACACTGCTGAATAACCATTATGAGGCAGGCAACATGGAGCCCTGGCTGAGTTTCAAACTAACTGAGAAGAGACGTGATCTTATTCAGCATCATATAAACTGCCGAATAACCATCACGCGGCAGTCTTTTAGCCGTTCTCAGCGCGGTCGTACGAGTTAGACTTGTGCTTGGGCGCGAAGGTGAACCCTTCCGGGACTTTGCCGAGCAGCAGCTCCGAGATCCTCACCTGCGTATTGCATAGAGGAGGTACATCAGCTTCCCAATCATGTCACAAGTACGTTCATCAGACAACCGGATGGAGAAAGAGGAGGGCAGCTGGCTTTTACCCAGTCGGCTGCTGAGTCGGAGGCCATCAGGGTCTCGAGGTCGTCGCGGCCGCAGTAGCTTGGAGGCCTCCAATTCAGCTGCTGCGGGACGACGTCCAGCAGCCCGACCGGGATGTACCGGCACGTGTAGCTCAGCCATTCTAGCAGGAAATGGCGTGTTGTCTCCACACCTGGAAACACATTGAACTATAAGTTGAGAACGTAGATAATTATTTGCAAGACAATTTGTAAGTTTAAACATGGGCCGATACAACTCCCTGTGAAAATATGGCAAAGAAAATCTCATAATTCCTACGTACTCTCAGAGAAGGGTGGACTCACCTTTGGTGTCAGAGCCCCAGTGTTCGAGACCGAAACGAGTAAAATCTTTCAGAATATTCAATCTCTCGCCAGATGTGATATCCCAGTCCCTTTGTTCTTTTATCTCAGTAAATATCCAAGGCTGCCAAGCATCAAAACGGCATGCATGAGCACCAACACGATTTAATACAATAACCCATAAAGTGCAGGCCCATATAGACATTTTCTGCCGACTATGTGCTACATTATGCTTGAAAAATCAACGCATAGGTTGTTTCAATGGTGATCAGGCACTATTATTAGACTGATCATTCAAACATCTCATCTAGTACAGATATGCAGAGAGGTTATTAATTAAGCTAGTAAAATCATTACAAAAAATGTTAGGACCTGAGAGCATTCAAGTAATACCGAGTTTGCATGTATCCTCCTAAATTAGTACCGATTACATGCTACAGTTTACCTTGCCTACCAGGTATCAATTCAATGTGAAGTATGCATTATAAAGACCGTCCACTAACTACGTAAACAATATGGATGCAGTCATCAACCATTTGGCAGCTACGAATAATTGGCATCTGAATTTTTTATATTTAAGATTAAGAAGAGGGATAGGCGAGACATTCATAGAAGAGGAACAAATGTGAAAATAACAGTTTATATGCTGCAGTTGAGGCAAAGCAGAAGACATGCAAAATAGTTATTTCAATTCTAGAATGGTTATAAGTACAAGGAGTACCATTCACACAAAATACAAAGACACATGGAGAGCATTAAACAGTGTCACAAATATCCAATGTTTTGCAACGATGAATAGCACTTATTCTTATGGCAGACGAAAATTGAAAGTTTGGTCGAAAAAATTTCAAGACTAAACACTGGAGCATAATTCACTGATATAGAACTGCACAATTCCAAGCTAAAATGTGGTTCACTATCATGCTATCCCAAAATACTCGGAACCATTTGTTTTTTTCTCATAATATATAACAACTTAAATCATGTAAACTGCTGTGCATACTAACCTTGACAAGCGCACCTCGAGCAATCATGCAAGTGGAAATTTTGGAGCTGCCAGAAACATGCCTGTTCCAGTCGGTAAAGGAGAATATATCACCATTTCCAATGACATGCAAGTCATCAGGGGCCTTCTGTGCACACTGGTTAATATAGTCCCAATCGGCATTTTTGCTGTAGCGTTGTTGCCGCGATCGACCATGTATTGTTATGGCTGAAGCACCCCAGTCATAAATGTCTGAAACTAAAGAATCAGCACGGTTCCTGCCTTCAAAGAAAGCTGTTCTTACCTAGAATCAAGAAACAAAGAAAAGGTGAGCACAAGAATTCTGCTACTCTATTTTAATATGTGTGTTGTTGAATTACCTTAACAGTTAGAGGTCTTTTAGTAACGGCAGATGATGCTTGAACAATACTCTTAATCCTCATAGGTTTGTTAAGCAACGAGGACCCAGCACCCTTATTGACAACTAAATCGATTGGGCAGCCCATATTTATGTCAACGAAGTCAAACGAACACTCGTTATCCACAAGTTCAATTGTCCGTGCCACTGTATCTGGAAAAGCTCCACAGATTTGCACCCCAAACAAATCCTCTGATGAATGTCTTCGCAGCAAAGCCCACTCTGAAGCTTGCCCCTACATGAAACATATCCATATGAAATGACATCACAAGGAATAAACAGATGATAATTCGTTAACCTTGGCACCATTTGTAATGGATGTAAGAAATTAACTCCACTCAAAAGACACGAAAATGGCATATGTCACATATGACGATGGAACAGACCAGGAAGGTACTTTGTTTTCTAACCTGCATAAGATTTGTGCACATAGCCATTTCTCCACAAGTAATGTCAGCTCCCAATGTTTTGCACAGCCTCCGGAAAGGAAGATTTCCCACAGTGGTCAAGGGAGCAAGGTACAGCTTCTCCCGAAAATCTATTATCTTCCTTTCGCGTAAATGAGGTGTTGCGACTAGGTCAACTCTGCAAGAGCTTGGGATATTTGAGGGCACTTCCAATCCATTAACTAAATTAGGATCTTCAGGCTCCAGCTTAGTGTCATGAGTACCTAACCCATAATGTTAGTGAAAAGGTTAATAAATGAAACCATACTATGAGCAACAGGAGCACTTAAAAGAATGGCTCTTAAATCCAGAAACAAAATTACCAGCTCCTTCTTTGTTAATTTCAACAACTTCAATCTTTGACTTCTTTGCTGCCCTTGCAACAGAGTCACCATCCAAAGGTTCTCCCCCCAATTTATCCATTTCTTCGCACAAACTGGAATCATGTTCCACATTCACAGCAGTATTGCAAGAAGATTCAGTTTTTTCGTCACCATTCAGTTCACACGATACATCTGGATTATCATGATCAGCGCTCCGATCTTCAGCTAATGCACTTGCTTTAATCTTGATGACTTCCTGCATTATGAAACACACCGATTGAGACTAAATGAAAGTATTATCATGTGACAGAACTTCACAGAATAGATCCTAAAACAACAGATTCTGCACCAACCCCTATGTTGCATCAGAAACTTCATAACAATAACTTATAATCAAAATAAAAAGTGGTATATGACATAATAAATTTCAATAGCCATGTGTTGACAAGCATTTTGAGGATCTTATACCCATATCAGTATCAGGCACATAGTAACTGCCAGTGCTAAGAACATACATCTCTTCTATGTATTTAAGAAGTATGAGAGGACCACTATGATCTACATTTGGAGATGCAGTAAAATCACCAGGCAGAGAAATTCCAATATTGCTAAAATTAGGGCTACGACTACTATATGTATTAGCCATTGTCACCTAGCAGGTGATAACCGGTAACCATTAAATATAAATATTTTAACCCGTAAAATGCAATGTGCTCCAATAAACATAAATCGTGCACTCTGTGTCCATGATAACAAGTGTAAAAGCCAGACCTGATAGACAATAGAATTCAAGAAATTTAAATTATGTACCTTAAGACCAAGATGTTTGATCTGCTCACTGGCCCTGGGAAATTTATATTTGGTTTTCCATAAGAGCTTTTGAACATCTTTACTCAAAGTGTTTATCTCATGACTTTCAGAAGGTGCATGGTTATCTTTGTGTGTACCAGAAAATCTGCAAGTTAGTCCATACGGACATGGCTGCCCCAGAACAGTGAATGGACATGTTCCTTCAAGGTCAGCTGGTTTCTGCGAAAGTAACAAAGAGATCAGTTATGAGTTATAGGTTCAGGGAGAAGACCAAATCAAGAGTGGCCAATAAAAAAATACCTGAGCCAAATAAGCATCTATGTCATGGGTGAAACGGCAAGAAGCACCAAATTTGCAAGCGTCCACATTTCCACTTTTGGCAACTGCCACACAAAGACGCAATACCGACTCCTGTTCCTGCATAAGTTGCACCCAAATTAAGATGACGACCAACAGTTTGTAGTATATGTTGCCTGCATAACAAATACACAAAGGTCTGCCATGTTCATGGGGCACTACGAAGCAAGCAGATATTTATGATCAGAGCGCATAGGGGAAGATGGTAATACTCCTGTAGATAATAAGTGATGGGAGATGCAGGCATGCAACAGGGGTAGTTCAGAGGTGGTTTTGCAACGAAGATGGTAGATAATAATTCATATATCCCATTAGTAAAGTAGCCCCGAATTGTCATTGAAAATCAAAGCAGGCCAGTTTACATCATTACTACAACCAAGCATTAGATGGAACATAATGAGTGTAAAGTTGCTTTGAACTTAGGTACCAAAAAAGACATTTTGGCCACACAGGAATCAAAAAAGTAACAATTACTCAAGTACATATTATATGTATCCATAAACGTGTACTTGCATCAGAGAGAAATCAGTAGCCACAGGCCTGCTTCTTTCGTATACTATAATCAATGAAACAGAGCATGCATTCATAAAGGCCAGTGAAATTTTTTAATCCACACATTTGTATTCATTCAGTGTGCGATTCTTGCTCACAACTTATGTACTTACTAGCCATTAGTGTCCAGGAAAAACAAATCTTGTCAAGGGAGGCTCACGACCAATTTCTAAAACTATTTAGCCTGAATTCATCAACACATGTTGTCCAGTTCACACTTTGCGCAGGCACATATCCAGTGGCGGAGCTATGGTAGATAACAAGGGCGGGCCGGTACAAAGGAAGACCCATAATTTTCAAGCTCATGGCTGAGTTTACTCTCAATCTCCACTGTAATTGCTATGAGCTGGGCGGGCCACGGCCGATTTTATCAGCACGTAGCTCCGCCAGTGCACATATCATCATTTTTTCATGAAACGGATACGCCACGACCGAAACGCCGTCCGACTACAAGGCAACTACGCACAGGCATTACCACAAGCACCTGGCACGCGCTGCTTCACAACACTACGGACTACGCTGTCTGTGGGGCATTGCCGCGAGCACCTTGAGTGCACCACAGTCGTTACCTGCTTGCGGTCGCGCCTGAACTGGCGCTTGGACTTCTTCTCGAGGGGGACGGCGCCGCTGGCCCTGCCGCCGTCCTCGCTGGGGGCGTCGCGGACGGGGGCCGGGCGGAGGAAGGCGGGCCTGACGGGGGCGACGCCGCGGGCCACCAGCTCCTCCGGCGTGGGGGGCGGAGGGGGAGACGGGTCCGCGGCGACGGGGCAGGGCTCCGGCCGGTCGTCGGCCATGGCAGCTGCGTGGCGGCGGCGGCGGCGGCGAGGGGAGTGGAGCTACAGCCTGCGCGTGATACAGGAGGCTGCGCCGAGGGTTTTATGCGGTGGGGGCTTTTTCGCAGTAAAACCCGTTTTGGGATGGCAATTTACATAAAGCGAAGGGCCAATGCTGGATATAATTTTTAGTAGAAATTGTACATCTTTTGAATGGCAATAATATACACACACATAAGAACACCCGAAATACAAAGCATATCAATAAAAAATTACATCGAGATTTCAAGACCACCGAATGACCACTATTAACACCAGAATGAGCCGTCGACACGTCTTTGTTGTCGCCCCCTGCCGAAGTCGGCTTGACCTTGTCCGTCCTGGAAGTCTTCGTGCACGCGCCTTTAAGGACCAGCGCCCTGGAGCCGCAGTCATCGTTGTTGAACCCTTACATAGATATGAAGCACCAGATGCCAAATTTCGCCACATGACGAGAAACCATAACCACACTGCCCCAAGGAGACTACATGAATCTAATCTGTAGCTTTGTCGACTAAGTTTAGACAGATGAACTCAAGGAGAATCGGAACCTGAAAGGCAAACTCAAATAAGAAGCACACCTGAGTGCCGCATTGGCGAGGACTAAAAAAACCTAATCTAAGCTATTAACTGGAGCGGATGCATCAGGATTCCAATCCCCACCACCGGTTGCCGAAGTGGCGGGCAGAAAGGAGGCGCAATGGGATCACGGGTGAACTCTGGAGGGAGAGTTTGCCAAGTGGAAAACGAGAGAAAGTCCGTATACAATAATATATTTTCTTAGTAGCTATTAACTTGAAACCAAATGTTACTCATGGACCTGATTAGTTATGTGAGTGAGGGTCATGATATGTTCAACTTTTTTTTCAGGGAAAAACTTCCTATTTATTCATCAAATATCATGATAGTACCAAGAACATCAAAAGGAATAAAAGTTACAACCATATCCGTAGATCACTACACTCATCGGAGCGAGACGAAGGCACGTCGCTATCATTGCCGCTCCGTCACAGGAGCCGAGCAAGCCTTGTTGTGGTAAACAACTAGAAAGTCGTCGTGTTAAGGCCCCAAAGAGCCAGCACACCATTACATCGACCGTCTCCGATGAATATAAGCATATATCGGAAGGATCCAATCCGCAGACACATGAACACAGACAAATAAAGACTGAATCCATGTGGATTCACCAAAAGACAAACACCGACCGAATCCCGTGAGATCCCTCGGAGGCACACCTCCACACGCCCTCTGAAAATGTGTGACGCATCGCCAGGATGGAGGTTAGACGGGGAGAACCGTATTCTATCTTCAGGAAGGCATCGTCGCCTCGACTTCCTGAGCAGGACACAAACCTTAAGCAGACTCCAAAGAATACCTAAAAATGAAGCAAGTGTCCTCTCACCGGCAAGGGCCGGAATCCACCGCGTCTTCATGGCCCTAAGGCCACAGGAGATGAGGCAGATCGACGGCACCCCCGATGAGAAACGAGAAAATCCTAGACGCGTGGCAGTCGTTCCACTATTAGAAAAACGGATATAACTAATATGGACATTAATGGCGCACCATGTATGTGGTGCGCCACTGCTATATAGCAGTGGTGCACCAGATACAGGTAGGCTATTATTGACATATTACTAATGGTGTATCTGGTGTGTGGTGTGCCATTACTAATTTTGAAAAAAAATTTGTTAGCAATGGCGCACTAGGGGATAGTAATGGCACACCTGTACAAAGTGCATCATTACTATGTGTATGACTGAGTCAAACCTTGGTCAAACTTAGTAATGGCGCACCTATGCAAAGTGCAGTGCGCCATTACTATGTCAAACTTAGTAATGGCGCACCTACACAAAGTGTGCCATTATTAACTTTAACCAAATGCACCCCCCTTGGAACCGCCTTTTCAGTTTTTTAAAAAATAAAAAATGATGGAAATGTCAAAAAAATAAAAGAAAATAAGTTTCCCACGTGATGTGTGGTCTAGTTGTTAGAAAAATTTACAAATATGAATTTCGACTTTATTTGCAAAATCTCTCTGGAATTTAGTAAAATAGGCATAACTTTTGCATACGAACTCGGATTAAAAAGTATTTTATATGAAAAATCATCTACTCGAAAAGTTACATCCGAATTAAACTCGTGAACATTTTTCAAATTCATGAACACTTTGACAAATTTTCACACATTTTATAAAACAAGAACATTTTTTGAATTCATGAAAATTTTATACTATTTGCAAATATATTTTTTAACAATTTTCTTGAATCGGCAACCATTTATCAAATGGACAAAGATTGTTTTGGAAATTGGTGAAACAACTTTTGAAATTCAGGAACATTTTTTTGATTTAACGAATATTTTTTGAAATGTGTGATCATTTTTTGAATCAGCGAACATTTCATGAATGAATAAACTATCTTAGTCACAATAAGTTTTTGAATTTTTAGGATATTTTTTCATTCATGATTTTTTTAATTGGCAATTTTTTTCAGTTTCATTAATATTTTTAATACATGAACTTTTTATATTAATCATGAACATGGTTTGATTTCCAGAACATTTGCTTCCAAAATTTTGAATATTTTTCGAATAAGCAAACATTTTTTTCATAAAATCGCGAGCATTTTTTGAATCCACAAACATTTATTCCAAATTCTCATTTTTAAATTGTTTGAAACTTTTTTGAAATCTCAAATTATGTAAAGTAGAAAAAACGAAAAGGAAAAGGAAAAGAAAAATGAAAAATGAAATTTTTTAAAAGACCGTTTGGACATGGGCCCGCTTCATCTTCTCCTACGCTGAACCGCAGACGGACAAGGTATTTGTCTCTTAAGATTTTACGAAGTTATTGTAGGCGTCTCGTAGTCGACGAGAACGTCTCCTCACACTGAACGTGTTTCGTCGAAAAATCCTGAAATAAATCCAAAATAAATACGAATATTAGTATTTGAACCCTGGTGAACTGAAGACGCCATTGTCCACCTAACCATCCAACCACATATTGGTTCATCGTCCAAACATAATTCTTATTTGACGGAAAGCAAGCTTCCGTCAACGTCGCTAGCTACATTCTATTGCTTCTATTTGCTTGCTTCCGCCAAAGCACCGCGTGATTAGTTCTAGCTTTTTAAGCATGCTATTTGGGCATTTGGCGGAACCAATCTAGCTAGCTTTTACATGACGGCTTTTGGTTCATGACGGCTTTTGGTGGAACCAGTATCATTTGAAGAAAAAAAATAGTGAAACAAAGTGATCAGCAGCCAAACGCCTAATCACCTTCCGCCAAACCTAAATAGTAGCACCACCCGCCTTCCGTCATCTGGATGGAGAGAAGAGGGTACGTGGCGGCTTTTGGTTCATTATGTGAATGTCTGCACTTTCACAAAGCCTCCCACGTTTGTTTCGGATCTGCTGAAAATGTACATTCCGCTCGACGGACCGATGGAAGCCCGCGTTGGATGACAAACTGTGTCTAGACAGCGCAGTCCGGACGGATGCAAGGGGTTTGAGGGTCCGCCTTGAAGATTGCCTTACCCCGTGGCCACACGCGTATCAACGTCAAGCCTCGTCAATGTCCATCCCATGGTAAAAAGTTATTTTTGGTCTGCCACTGCCCGCCCAAGCTTGCCGGAAGTGCCACGTTTCATGTTCAATGTTGAGCGTCCGATATGTTTAGCACGTAATAATATCACACCTGTCGACCCCAACCACATAATTGGCGCATATTAACATATATCAGTAATTGATATCATGCCTGATCACGACGTGCACTGCAAAATTAGCGCCTGTAGCAATTAATTGATTCTAAAAATAGCAGGTATCCTGGGTTATAAATATGAGCAGGTTAGTACGCACCCATGCAGTAAAAATATATCAAAAAAATTCAAACTTGAACACCAGACTACCAAGTTGCCTACAAGAACACCGCGCACACTCGAAGAGATTGTTATCCTACAAGAACAATATGGCCAGTGGCAGCAGTTTAGTTGTCTTTCTTCTTCTTTCATGCATGATAGTCTCGGCAGGTAGAGTTACATTCACTTGTTTTACCGGCCTCTTCGTAATTACACAAGCTTTATGATGATGATGATGATGATGGAATTTCAAGAATACTTTTGTTTGGTTTGCATGATATATTCACTAGATGTTGTCATGTATTTTATCTAGAAAGACGCCGACAACGTTTAATTTCTAAGCATTTTATTTGTGAAACCTTATTTGTTAAAATTTGAAGGTAATTTGATAAACTTTTCTTCATATATGCCCCTTCGTTTTTGCTTGGGCAGCACCTGCAACATTAATACCAAGATGCAATGAATATTTCCATTCATGGGGTGAGCATGACTCGTGCATGTAATAATGAAAGTACCGGGCGGCAGTGGCGGATTCACCGTACGGGCACCCTGGGCACGTGCCCGGGCTCGATCCCGTCGGTGTTCTCAACTATAGCGATCTTTCCTAGCCATCGCATGCCTAAAAACGCTCAGAAACACGAAAAAACGATGGAAAATACGTAAACTTCTCTAACTGGGCCAGTCCGAGCGTTTTCTGCAGTTTGGGCCTTACTCATATCAGCTAAGCAATCAGATGGGCCACAACAGCCAATAGGCCTTGTTTGCTCGATCAATCCACGCACTGAAGAAGAATCGATCGATCCATCGACAAGTCGCCTGTTCGTCTGCGTATGCAGGAACGCGAGACCTAGTCGTGTCCTACCATCTGCTGCGCAGCTGCGCCTCCAAGGCGGCGATGGCGTGAGGTAGACTGCCGCCAGCAGCCAGATCAATGTCGGACGACAAGATTAGAAGAGGATTAGAGATGACGCGCGGCCGGGCCTCGGCTCTGACTCCGGTGGGCGACGGTCAAGATCGGAAGCGTAAGCGGGGGCGCCAAGGCGGCGAATCGTCCGGTACCACCAGTGGGAATTCAACTCCGGCTGGATCAGACGTTGGGTCTTCACCGTCGACACTAGCGAACACTCA